TAGAAAAAAAAGAAAAAAAAAGAAAAATTGCTCTTATCCTTTGACCAGTTATCTCAATTGAGGAGATAATTTTATTCTCAAGATTTTCTGAGTTCCAGAGTTCCCTGCACTGGGCCAAATATATAGAGATTTCCTGATGAGTTCCTCCCCTTGGAGAAGGAAGAAGAAAGTTGATGTGGTTCTGGAGTAGGGTCTAACTTGTGGAACAAAGCCAATGAGTGTCTTAGATGGCACAAGGATGAGGAGAAGGGGTTTGCTTATTCAGCAAACTCCAAAGGATGTTTATATTTTGGGGAACAGACTAATCACAGGGGAAATTTTGGGGAGGCAGGTAGGGCTCTGAGAGGAAAAGGGATTCATCAGAATAACAGAGGAGTTGCCCTAATAGTAACTCCAAGTTCATTTCTCTTGTTGGGAGGTAGGTAGCAGAGCTGATAGGTTATTTGGGGGCTTTGTGCTTCAATGTTTATTTGGGTGCTTTTGTAAGTCCTTTTGTAAGTATGTTACATATTTTCAGTGAGGTGAAACAAAGGCTATTCCCTATCATAACTATATTGTATGTTGACTGCCTGTGCATGATTTGGACCCTAAACATGATTATGCCTAAGATTTCTCTTAGTGATTTATCTAGATTAATCTAGGTGGGGGAGGAGGGAGAATGAGCAAAAGGAAGAGAGATTGACCCTTTGTGGTCAAGTTGCCTGGATGTGATCTGGTCTATGTGAGCCCATAGTCACTGGGGAGCTCTGGGCCATAAGTTACTGATGCATTACTGATTGTTAGTACTTACAGAATAAGAATGGGAGATTATGGTCAAGAAAAGGAATTCTCTAGTACAGTGCTTTGGGTATCATGAGAGAAGTATCAGACATATCATGTTTTCTTGGAGAGGTGCAAAAAATGTGACAATTGAGAAACTGAGGCAATAAAGTTTTGAGCATGTTCCATTTATTAGCAAGGCTAGCAATTGCCAATAAGTGAGGTCCAAGGTTCCTTAGTAACCAAGGACCCTGTGGAGAGTTTACAGAGCTTTCTTATAGTCAACAAAGAACTGAGGCAAATTATGAAAATCTCAAGTAATATGATGTTATCGATTCCTGGTTGGTTGGTGCAGAGGGTGCTTATCACAAGTTGTATCAGTTTGCCACAAGGCAGGCTAACATCCTGGGGTATCTTCAACAAGGACAAGAATAGGGAAATTATTGTTGGAAATAGGTTAGAAACAGAGAACCTATTTTTGGGGAATGGGGAAATGGAAAATTGTACAATCTCTTAGTAGTAAACATTCCTTTTCTCTAATTGGGTAGGTATTACAAAAGCTTATTGATTAATTGCCTATTGATAACATCAATATCTTAGTTTAACATCATGCAGAAGATTTGTAATTTTCTATGAGTCCAAATGAAGAACTGACTAATAAAAATAGGGAAGTTTGACTCACAAGGAAAAGAGGAAATCTTACAAAACAAAGACTTAGGCTCACAAGAGTGGGGAAGTTAAACTTTAACAAACTACTAATACAAGCTAGTCAAGTTTAATGATTCATAGCAGGCCTCAGCTAAAAATCAAGTCTGAACACGATTCCCAATTGATTGAATACAATTCCCAACTCACATTTCACACAAAAGAGGTGCCATGTCTTCTTGGAGGAGTCAAGAGAGCTACCATGTCTTCTTGGAGAAGCTAGGTTTCCTTGAGTGCAAGATGGGAAGAATGTAACATGAAAGTTTAAAAGGAATTTGTCAACAGTGGGTGGGTGGGGGGTGCGCTGTATATGTTCCAGAGGGCCCACTGGAATGGGAAGGCAGAAGAGAATACCGAGTATAAAAGTGTAAGGCTAAGGTGTTCAGGGATGAGAGGAAGGGGAGAGATAGAAATCAGACAGGATTTTCAACTCATTAGATGTTGACTTTGAATCACAGAGACATAGGAGAACTTGATCAGGGAATTTGCTTGGGGAGTTGATAGAGGTTCCCATCTTGTGGGTATCTGAAATGAATTAGTTCAGAGTCACTGCAGGTACATATTGCTTCTGATACCTACAGGTCTAGGATTTCTTACAGTTTTTAAATATTAAGGGCAGAAGAAGACTAAGGTAATGATTAAATCCTTAGGATTAAATTCATCATCCATATCTATCCATTGCATCCTTGCAGTATGTGAGTGTGTGTGTATATACATCTGTGTAAATAAAAAAGGAATGGGAGAAAAAAGAGGGACACCTATGAGACAGCTTGCTTCACAAAGTGACCTTCAGAAGCAAATACTCCTGGTACCTCTGGTGTCTTGAGGCTTAGGATCTGTGATAGCTTCTGTTCCTCTTTTGAGGTTTAAAAAGCAGTGTAGTATACTGGAAAGTGGAGTCAGAGGATCTGAGTTTGAATCTCAGCTTTGCCACTTATTATCCATATGACTTGTTACAAGTTATTTATCATCTTTGGAACTCAAGTTTTCTGGTCTGTAGGACTGGCCATATAGGCCAGTCATCACACATGTGAATGGTTTGTGAGCCTGAATAAGAGCATGCTCTCTCTTCTACTACCTTAGTGCCTGGGTAGAATGGGCTCAATTAAAAGTTGTTGTTTGTTATTATTCAGTTGTTCCTGACTCTTCATTGATCCCATTTGGGGTTTTCTGGGCAAAGATGCTGGAGTGGTTTGCCTTTTCCTTCTCCAGCTCATTTTATAAATGAAGAAACTAAGGCAAATAGCCTTAAGTAACTTGCTGACGGTCACATAGCTGGTAAGATTTGAACTCTGGAAGATGAGTCTTCCTGATTCGAGGCCCAGCACTTTCTCCCCTGCAGCACTAGACATTCATGTCACCAGCTTCTCTTCTGGATGCCTATGCTGAGATGAGGCTGCTAGCTAGATTGAATGTATAGCTAGATTGAATCTCACTTTGACATTCAGGGCTATGCTCTTTCACAGGGCTCAGCCCACAAACTGGTATGGATTGCTCTCAAACTTGTCTCTCACACTTATTCATGTAAGAGAAGGAAAGCATGAAACATCACAGAAACAGAAAACCAACAGCACCATAGCAGCCTAAGTGGGGAATAAAAGACCTTATCTCTCTCTCTCCCCACTTAGAGATTTACAATATTTTTCACACATGATTCAGCCTGTTATATCTTTAGCAAATTAAAAGGCTTTTCTTCACTGTGTAGTACCTGGACAGGAAACCATCACAGAATGACAGCATGTACTCTGAATCAGGACAGGGCCCTCCATTATATGTCATTGTTCACTTCCAGAAGCAGGCTCACAAACTCCCCATAGGTGACAGCTGTGCTTGCTTTGGGGAGCAGACTGCTAGTGCGTGTAGAAGTCAGGAGAGTAGGCCCAAATCTCTGCATATAAAATGAGGGGGTTAGATGTGATGGTTTCCAGGGTCCCTTCCAGCTCAAAGTCTGTGATCCTATGATTAAGCTGACGATATTGGACTTTGGGGGAGAGGGGGGTTAGTGGGAGGGGATTTTTTTCCTCTCATCATCTCCTGCTGCAATAGAGGCTTACAGCACAAATGGGTCTTCAGGAGATGTGCTTGATTAAGCTGTCCCTTGGCTACCTTTTGCCTTTGTCTACCTGTTGTCTTACTTAAACGTCAGTGATTATTGATTCTGAGAATGGACATTTTTAGCCTTGATATCTACCTCATGAATACAAGAATTCTTGAATTGGGTGCTGGCAAGTCAAATAAGGTGACTGTGAAATATCTGTTCAGCAGTCCCACAAAGAATCTCTATCTTTTGTGGGGGTATACAATGTAAATAATGAGCCATTTGGGATGTTTTCTGTATTCTTGTACCCTTGAGTCTTTTGCATCTTAGGCATTTTCTGTAGTGAAGGAAATAAAGAGCTGCTCTGGACTTTATTGTACATTGAATACCTTTTCTAGAAAGAGCTCTGTCATCACATTTTGTGGAGACCTAGACAGAAACCACACCTAAACTTTGTTTCAAAGAGTTTCATTGGGTATGGTCAGAGCCAGAGAAAGAAACTTCAACTCTCTCATATTTTCTTTCCCACCTCCTCTAGCACATGAATCCAGGTTCATGGGAGTCCAGAGGTCCTCTCCTTGCTGAGAAAACCTGAACTGTGGATGATATCTGTATTTCCTTGACTACCTTTGGCCTTTGTCTACCTGTTGTCTTCCCTGGGCACAGGTCAGTGATTAGTGATCCTGAGAACGGACATTTTTTTAGCCTTGATTACCAATGATTTCTTAATTGCTAAGATCAGTATTCTTTTCTCAGTTTTCATCTTTCCTGACTTTTCTTTAGCTCTTCCCCTATATTTCCCCAGGGCATATTTTCTCTTCCCTTGGCTTTCTTGATCCTATTCTCTCTCTTTTTTTCCCCCTACCTGTCTGAATACTTCTCAGTTTCCTTTTTGATGTCCTCTCCTTCAGCCCACTGATTGTAAGTGTCCCCCACCCCCCCAAGGGTCTATTCTGGGCCCTCATATCTTCTCTTTTATATCCTCTTCCCCTAGTGATCTCATTAGCTTCCATGACTCTAATTATTATCTCCAGGTAGATGGCTCCCAAATCTACATCTTTACCTCTTATCTCTCCACCGAGCTCAATCTGGATCTTCACCTGGGTGTCTCAGCATTTCAAAATCAACATGTCAAAAACAATTCATTATATTTTCCCCTTTTACCCACCTCCTCCAAACTCTCCCCTTTCTCATGACAGCATTTTCATGTTCCTAGTCACCTAGATTCACACTTCAGAGTCATAAGCTACTTTTCCTGTTCCCTTACCTACCACATCCAATTAGTTGCCAAATCTTATAAATTCTATCTCTTGGCATCCACTCTCTTCTTTCCACTCATTCCACAACCAACCTGGTGCAGAGCCTCCTCGCCTCTTTCCAGTACTATTGTCATTGCCTCCTAATTAATTTTTATCTCAAGTCTCTTCTCTCTCCAATCCATCTTTTACACAACTGCCAAAATGACATTCCTAAAGCACAGATCCAACTACATTACTACTCGATTTCAAAGGTTTATTGGCTCCATATTACCTCCAGTATCAAAGACAAGTTCTTCAGTTTCTCCAGGAAAAAGGGATCCCTTGATTGGCAGCAGCTTAGCAAAGTGAGTGGGGAATTCAGAGGTCTGCATCCTTACACTCAACTTGTTTCAGAGTGGAAGGACTAAAGGGAAAAAAAAATCATTATTATGACATTGTGAGAGGCAGGGTTGAAAGATGGGCTTCTCCATGCTTATTTCGTTCCAGGGAGTGGAGGTACAGCCTTTGGTATCTCTCTAGATCAGGCCTTCACAACCTACTGCCTGCAGGTCGCCAAAGGATGTCAGAAAGCCTTCAGAAAAATGCACCAGAAATCCTTTGGAGTGCAGCAAGTGACCTGGGATCGTAAGCTGTCGCAGGTTGTGTAGGTCTGCTCCAGACAGACCCTGTTAGGACTCAGAGTTAATTGCTGCAGCTGTAGTTGTTCCATTTGCAGCTTCTCTCTTTTAAAGACAATATGAAGAACCAGGATCGTGAAGGAGTTGGTTATAATCTGCTAGCCTGCTCTTGAGAATATATGCATTTTCTGTGCCACAGAGAGAGACAAGTCAAAGGTGGCTTCACCTGCAGATTGCATACTTTCTTTCTTTCTTTTTTTTTTTTTTTGCTAGGCAATAGGGTCACACAGCTAGTAAGTGTTATTGGCCAGTGCTCTATCCACTGTGCCACTTAGCTGCCCTGATTGGACACTTTCAGCGAATATTTGTGTCAGGCTCCACAATATCTCTTCCAGGGCCTCATCTAGCTTGACATTTAAGTCCTTCTTCAGCTCCTGTTTGGTCTTCCAGATCTGCCCCCTGTGAGCAGCTCATCCACAGCTACCAAGTCTCACCCAGAGGCAGATTCCTGGTCCTGAAGAGTTCTTTTTTCACAGATGAAAAACTAGGTGAAGTGACTTGCTCAAGGTTGAACACATAAAGTCAAGGTTTATACTCAAAGACTTTTGCCTCAAAACCAAACCAAACCCAAAACAAGTAACAGTCCTCCCCTCCACCCCCTACCCCATTTAGTACTCTAGTTCAGGCATCAACTCTCACCTAGACTACTACAACAGTTTTGTAACTCTACAGGTCTTCCAGCACCCTGATTCAATTGCCTCCTCTTCATCATCCATGTTTTGCCAAATGACATTCCTAAAGCATGGATCTTCTTAAAAACCTTCAATGGATTATTGACTTCAAGATACAATGCACATTTCTCTTAGGCAGAGCCCTTCACATTCTGGCTCTAATCCACCCTTGATAGGCTTATTGCATATTACTTCCCCTCAGATAACTCAAATTCCAACTAAATTAGTCTGCTCGATGTTTTCCCAACACAACACTCCATTTTAGCATGGGCTGTCCTCATTCTTCTCTTCCTTCCATCCCAACTATAGTAATCCCTAGGAAATAAGAAAGGAAGGGAGAAAAGGAAGGAAACACAAACACATATTTATTAAACTCCAACTATGTACATTGGACAAAGATTACTTGTTCCTCACAACAACCCTCTGGAGAAGGTGCTAACTTCAAGGCTAAATTCAAGTCCTGACATCTCCTACAAGGACTTTCCGGACTCCTCAAAGTGTTAAGAGTCCCAGCATGTGTACTGATGGTACTGCCACCACTCTAATGCAGGCCCTCAACATCCCATGACTTGATTATTACAACAGCCTGCTGGTGGGTCTGCCTGCCTCTAGTCTCTCCCCACTCCAATCCATTCTCATTCAGCCGCCAAAATGATTTCCCTAAAAAACACAGGTCTGATCATGTCACACCTCCCCCCCCAAACACCAGTAGCTTCCTATTGCCAACATAAGCAAATAAAAATGCTGTTTAGCATTCAAAGCCTTCAAAACCTAACTCCCTCCTACCCTTTTCTGTCTTCTTACTTCTACTCCCCAACACATACTCTTTGATCCTGGCTGTTTCAGAAACAAGACATCTCTAGGCACTGGCTGTTTTCCAAGCCTGGAATGATCTCCTTCCTCCACTCTGACTGCTGACCTCCCTAAAATACCAATTGAAGGGCTTTCCTTCTTATTTTTTCCCTATTTATCCGAGATATAGTTTGCTTCGTATATATCTGTTTGTATAGCGTCTTCCCTATTAGACTGTAAGCTCCTCGAGGGCAAAGACTCTTTGGCCCCTTTCTGTAGTCCCAGCACTTAGCTAGAGTAACCAATTAAAAGTGGATCCACTGATTCGCTCGTGTACTTTATCCCCTAAGAATATTCCAAAGCTTCGCGAAGGCGGGGTCTGTCATTGTATCCCCAGTGCACAGACAGGGTCTGGCCCATAGGAGGCGCTTGACAAGTGCTTGCTGAATGAGCCCAGCGCCCAGGGCTTCTCTTTCGGTTCTATTTGAGTCAGCCCTGAATCACGTGGCGGGCCAGCTTACTGAGTTGGGCAAAGAGGGAGGGGCGAGGAGGAGGAGGGATGAGGGAAGGGGGAAGACGGAAGGGGTAGGGAGTAGGGCAAGCGGGGGGAGAGATGAGGGAGGAGGAGGAACGAGGATGGAAGGAGGTCCAATTGGAGCAGGGGTTAGAACATTAAGAAACGAAGCTCAGATTCTGTCGCCGCCCCCCTCCCCGTCCCGAGGACCTCCAGGCCGGTCCCCTACACTCCCTCCTCCCCGCCCCCGTGCCCACCCCGTCTCTCTCTTTAACTCTTCCTTCCCCACAGCAATCCGTCTTTCTTCTCTGACCTCGGAAAGGAAAGCCTGCTGGCCGGAAGGGGACTAAGGAGAGGGGGCGGGGCGGAGGGTCGGCGGAAGTTGCGGTGCATTGTGGTTGCGCCGGCTGTTGTGGAGAGCTGTCTGAATGAAAGTGGCGCCGGGAAGCGGCTGGACGTTGGGCTGAGGGAGCAGCGCGTTGGCGGCGGCAGCCGTCGGAGCAGCAGCCCTCTCGGCAGCAGCGGCGGCGGCGGGCACAGTTGGGGACCTGCCCCCCTCCTCTCTTGCTGGCGGAGCGGAGAGGCTGTTCAGGGCGGAGGGGCCGGCGGGGGAAAGGCTCCGGGCCCGGGGGGGGGGGTGTGCAGCGGCCCCGGCCGTCCCGCCGCCGCGTCCGGGGCCATGGCGCACAACAAGATCCCACCGCGGTGGCTGCACTGCCCGCGGCGAGGCCAGCCCGTGGCAGGTAACGAACGTGCCGCACCCGGCGGGGGGCGCGGGCGGCCGGGGACGGTCCTCGTTCGGGCTGGGAGCCGGCATCGGCTGCCGGGGCCGAAGCCACGGCTTCTTGAGGCCCCTTGGCCCGGGGAGGTTTCCGAGTGGTGTCAACGAGGGGAGCAGGTGCGCTTCTGTCTCTGAGCGCCTTGGCTGGGTGATGGGGGTGGTTTGTACTTGTACTGGGTTTTATTTTTTGAACCAGATAGATTCTTGCTATTTGGCTTCCCACCCCGGCGCTCTCCTGAAGCCGTTTAAGGGGGTTTCACGTACTAAACGGGACGTCCTTAAGTCCCTTGGAGCTTGCGACAGTCTGTCGCACGCACCCTTCCCCCTTCCCCCAAGTGTGTGCTGTCTTCTTTCTGGGTTTTCGTAGCACTGCTGTTTCTCGGAGAGTCACTTATCTAGTGCCAGAGATGAGATTTGAACCCTGGTCTTTCTGAGTCTGTAGCCCAGCACTTTATCCATAACATCATTGTCATTTCCTCTCCCGCCCCCATTCCTCCTTTCTCGTCTCCTTAGAATCGTCTCTTTACAAAGTCTGGCAGAACGCATCATTGCTTCAGTTATGTAGAAAATGTAAGCCTCGTTCTGTACCTAGTTTGCCACCTCAGTGCTGAGATATAGGAGGCATTCTGCATCATCATCATCAGCCCTCTGAAGTCATCCTTGATCTCTGTATTAGAGACTCTTTTGTGTTGTTTTACATTATATTATTGTGCTCATAGGGTAATTTATTCTACCGATTCAGACTAATTTGCTCCAAATGAGTCCATACAAACAAGTCTTAATAATTTCTTAAAGCACAGTAAATATTCCATTTGGTTCCTCTACCATACTTGTTCAAGTATAACCATGAACACCTGTTTTATTTCCCATTCTTTGCTTCTAAAAAAAAATACTGCTATAAAAATTTGTGTGTGTATGAGATCTTTCCTTGCCTTTGACCTTCTTAGGGGTTAGGGGTAGTGTCACTGGATTAAAGGATATATTCAGTTTACTGATTTTTTTTTAAAGTATAATTTTTAAAAGTTTTCCAGAATGGTTGGACCATTTCACCCTCACTGTACACCTTTCATCACAACCTCTCTGAAATTTGGCATTTTCCTCTTTTATCTTTGACTATCTGAAGGGTGAAACAACAGTTATTTTAATTTGGCACTTCTCTTGTTATTTGGAACATTCTTACATTGCTTGTAGCTTTCTTTTCAAAACTGCCTATTTATATCCTTTGACCACTTATCTGTTGAGGAATGGCTCTTGATTTTTGTATGTTTATCAATTCCACATATACACATGTATATATGTAACATTTCTTTCTTCAATTACTTACTCTATTTCTCCCTGAACTCATCCATTCTTCAAACTAACTTATGGCTGTAGTCACTCAGGCTCACAATCTTGGAGTAATACTTACTGTCTCTGTCCTTCAAACTTTCTCAAACAAGTTGCCAAATCTTATCTACCTCTAAAGCGTCTCACATTTATTCTCTTTTTTCTACTATGTTGCTTCTATAACTGTTGAGGCTCTCATCACCTCTCACTTGAACTAGTACAGTAACTGTTCTCTCTGCCTCTAGTCTCTTACTTATCCTATCCATCTTCCACACGACTGTCAAATTGACATTTCTAAAAGACAGATTTTACTGTGTCACTCAGAAAATATTATGGCCCCCTGTTTCCTCCAAGATGAAATATAAAAGCCACAGCTTGACACTGGCTTCTAACTACCTTTTCACTATTATTTTCTTTACTATTTTTCATTCTGTTTCATTCAAACAGGCCTACTAACTAGCCATTCTCTGTATGCAAGATTACATCTTTTGCCTGTTTGTGGGATCATAAATCTATTGTTTGGAATGTACTCCCTCCTCATCTTAGAATACCTGGCTGCCTTCATAGCTCAGCCCAGGTGTGCTTCATTGCGCTTTTTTTGATCCCCTGCCTCATTAGTACTCTCTTCTCGTAATTTCTTTGTATTAGTTTATATAAACATTGTATTTATTTCCTTTCATATCTATATCTATATCTATTATCCGTTAGTAGTACAAACTCTGATATATACTATGTATTTACCTACTTATATACATATTGTATCTTCCTAATAGAATGTAATTAGAGTGTGAAAGGGTAGATACTGTTTCACTTACTTTCTTTGCATCCCTAGGGCTTAGCATAATGCCTTGCAGTAGAGGGTACCTAATGAGAAAGTTTGTTGATTGAATAGAATCTAAAAGTTGGAGAGAGGCAGTGTTGCATTCTTAATATTTGAGCATTGAGAAGTCAAATGAAGGAGCGTTTATTAAGTATCTTCTATGTGCCAGGTACTGTGTGAAGCCCTGGAAGAGAATAAAAATTTATATAGTTCTTACTATGTTCCAGGCACTGTGCTAAGTGCTTTACAAATGCTAGCTTATTTCAATGCTAATTTATGGACTATCTAAACATTCTAAGATAGCATCTTTTATTTCACTTAGCTACTTTTAAAAACCCCTTTTTATGGATTTCTTTTGATTTTGTATCGGATTTACCTCTGAATGTATCCTTACCTTCTCCCCTATGAGTGAACCATTCTCTGTAACAATGACTTTCTCATAAGAGGGGAGGTTGGGAAAGTAAGGCAGCTGAAATAAAGCAGTTCAGCGAAACTAGTACATCAGTCTGACAGCACGTGCAATATTTCATGCCCATAGTTTCCCTCTTCTGTGATGGAGAGAAGTTCATTTTCTCAACTTTTCTCTGGGACCAAGTTTGATCATTGTAATGATACAGAATTTAGTTTTGTTTTTATTATTATTTATTATTTGTATTCTTAAAGAGGCATTATTGAAAGTGCTTCATGAAAAGTTTTGTTAAAATGCCTTTTCCCTTATGGGTTTTAGAACAGTGACCTCAAACTCAAATACAAATGGAGTCACTAAACAGAAAATAAAGATTCCTGTAGGACATATATTGACTTAGAAAACCACATATTAACATTATTAATGTTCTATTGTATTTTTATTTTAATTATTTTCCAATTACATTTTAATCTGGTTCAGCTGCCCTTGAGAGTGTTATGGACCACATTTGGCAGTGTTTGACACCTCTGTTTTAGAAGATATTTGGAGACTACAAGGCTAATTTGGGATCTTTTAACATTCAATTAATAAGCATTTATTAAGCAATGTCACCTATTTTACTTTGTTTAGGGAAGTTCTTACCTCTGAAGACTATGTTAGGACCAAGATATGATAGTCAAGTTGCTGAAGAGAATCGATTCCACCCTAGTATGCTCTCCAACTATCTGAAGAGCCTAAAGGTAAAAGAAAATTTCTGATATAAATACAGGTAACAGTTTGTAACACTTCTCTGTTCTTTATATTAGTTTTAAGAATGGAATGAAGCTTTATTAGATACAATTTTTTAGGTACACTGATTTTGAAATAACTTTAGTATCCTTTCATTAGGGTAGGAGCTGAACCTAAGGTTTTATTTGTATAGGGAACTGCTGGGTGAGGAAACTCCCTTTACTAATGTAGGTCAAGGCTTTCTCTGCAACTTATAGTCTTATTTGCTTGGGCAATTGAGAGGCTAAGTGACTTACCTTGTTTCATATGACCTAGCCAGCATGTGTCAGAAGCAGGATTAGAACCCAGTTCATCTTTAAGGCCAGCTTTCTTGCCCCTATTCCACACTGCCTATTTTCTTTAAATGACTAGATTTAATTTATACTTAAGGTATTTTAAAATTGTGTGTCTCACTAGCTTGTGTAATGTGGAATTACCTACGTGAGTAGCCTGCAGCTCTTATTTTGCTGTACTTGGGTCCTTTGTGTTGTTTTTTGTGCCCAATTTATGAGACAGCTACGTGGAATAGTACAGAAAGTGTTAGACTGGGATTCAGAAAGACCTGAGTTTGAATCCTGCCTTAGACTAGCTGTTTGACCCTAAGCAAGTCACTTAACCTCTCTATCCTCAGTTTCTTCATCTGTAAAATGGGAATAATAATAATAGCACTTACCTCATAGAGTTGTGGTAAAGTGAGATCACATATAAAACATTTTCCCAACCTTAACGAACTGTATACGTTGTAATTATTATATCACTTCTACTATTATAATTACTCCTGTTGATCATTATATGAAAGAGGTAACCTGTCTCAATTTTTACTCTACAAATATTAATTAAATGTATTATTTATTATTGTTAAATGCATTTATTTGTTAAATGCATTTTATATGCTAAGTGATTTCAAAATGAGGAGAGAAGTGGAATATTTTTATCCAGGTTACATGAGATATTTTAGCTAAGAATGGAGCCTGACATTGTATGTTTGTGAGTATATTGTGAAAAATTATTAGAATACGTTGTGGCCAAAAAGTATGATAGAGAAAGAATTTTTTTTCCATGTTAACGTCCAGCTTTGTCATATCTAGCACCATAATAGTAGTTTTTTTTATTTGTTACTCGTTTCTATTAAACATTTTTATAATTGTTCCTGTTTTCTAAGAATATTAACTGTAGGATTTTGTGAGGGTTTATTATATTTCCAGAAAGTGCAGAGTAATTATAAGTAGGCAAATTTACTGAAGAAGGAAAGTACTCATGTTTTTCCTGTGTTGGTGACAGACTGGACTGCTCTTAACAGCCAGATGGTGGTGGTATTAACCCCTTATTAATTCCACCCTCGTAGGCTTGTTTAAATGTCAAGATGAGTGATAAATACATAAAGAATGATAATGTTATTCTATTTTGATCCTAAATATAATCAGTCAGCTAATCAGCTAGTTGCTTATGACACTATGTCTGTCTATCCATGCTTTCTGCTTCTGTCCTTAACCTTTCACTCCTCAGATACTTGTGAATAATTTTTTTTCCTAATAGTGCAGTAACATGGTGAGTCTAGGATTTTTTCCAGGTGTAAGATGAGTCAAAGGTTGTGTTTTCATTTAAAGGCATAGTTGGTCAGTTGTGTCTGACTCCATAGCATGCCAATTCTGTCCATGGGCTTTTCTTGTTAAAGATCCTGAAGTGGTTTGCCATTTCCTTCTCCAATGGATTAGGACAAACGGGATTAAATGACTTCTCTAGGGTTATACAGCTCAGATACAACAAGTATCTGAGGCTGGATTTGAATTCCTGACTCAAAGCTCAGCGCTGTAATCCACTGAGCCACCTAGCTGCCTCTTATAGGCATATAGTATGCTGCAAATCTTGGAACAAATGAAAAACAACTGTTTAATGACTTGTCACAATATGGTTTTTCCTTTTTTAGGTTAAAATGGGACTTTTGGTGGATTTGACGAATACTACAAGATTTTATGACAGAAATGACATTGAAAAAGAAGGGATCAAGTATATAAAGCTTCAGTGTAAAGGGTAGGTTAATGTTAATGTATCCATTTTTTTCCAAGTTGAAAAGGTTGTAATGAATTTTTTAATCTTTTCTTTTTTTTCAAACTTTTTTTCTTTTGTGTTACTAGTCATGGGGAATGCCCTACAGCTGAGAACACAGATACATTCATTCGTCTATGTGAACGTTTTAATGAGAAGAATCCTCCTGAACTTATAGGTATGATTGAAAAACTTGTTTATTCTTCTCTGTTCTATAATTTTGCATTATATGATAATGTTTCTTTCTTCATCTGTCTTTTTCTACAAGGGAGTTTGTTGACTTGCCTGTGTGATTTGGGTGGAGGGGCACCTTACAGAGTAATAACTGTATGAAATCTGCCTTTTAAAAAAATCTACCTAGATCACTTTAGGAATATGTTATGTAAGAGCATTTATTTGTCACTTTTAAGCTTTCTTCATATATGATTATAAGTTAGTGTTTTAAGTTTGGTGTTTCTATTTTAGCTACTCTTACTGTGATTAAGAGTTTTACTGAGGTTTTACCAGTGTAGCTCTTTAACCTCACGTCAGAAACGATTAACATTTGAAGAAAAATTAGTTTCTCTTAGCTGAGAATTGCCCAGTCTCCATATACATGACCATTTGAGTAAGAATTCAAATGTTTGGTGAAAATAACAAGCTAAATAACAAGTTGGATAAATATTGGCATTTATAGGACTTAGTACTGTATTACAATCATATTCAGTAAATGAAATCCATTTTATATTTGTACAACATAACCAACAAATGATGATGCATCCTTTGCTTGATGGTCTGGGGTGAGGTAGAACCCACTGTTAGTTTTACCCTTTGGGAAAAGGCAGAACAAATCTAATCTCTTTTCCATATGATAGCCCTTCAGATATTTCAGGACAATTGTCATTTTCCCTTAAGTCTGCTCCAGAATAAATAACCCCAATTCCTTTAAGTGATCATTACATCTCATGAAGCTGAGTCTTTCAAACCCTTTTCTTAAGGTCAAACTTACCAATATCTTTCCTAGAATATGATGCTCAGAACTGAACACAGTATTCTAGATGAGGGCTAACCAGTGGTACTATCACTTTCTTAGTCCTAGACAGCTGTATCACACTGACACATGCTGAGCTTGCAAAACCACTAAAACCTCCATCCAAGCTGCTATGTAGCTACACCTCTCCCATATTATCATTAGGAAGTTGATTTTTTGAACTCACATGCAAGACTTTACACTTATCTGTAATAAATTTCACCTTATTCAGTTTTGCCTTACATGCTAGCCTAACAGTGCCTTTTTGAGTGCAGGATTCTGTCGTGTACTGGGTCAGCTATTTCTCTGTGCTTTGTGTCTTTAGCAAGTTAGGTAAGCAGTCTGTCTCTGTGCCTGATAGGTTGAAAGGTTAAGCAAGGACCCACGAGGGACAGACTGGAGGGAACCATGTGCTAGATGAACCACCACCTTAGCCACCACTTCCCCTGACATTCTGATTGAGACAGTATAGGACCTTGAACCTAAGAACCTTGGGAATAGAAGTACCTCTCATACTCTAAATCCATTTTCCAGCCAGGGTCCTGTAGCCAAGTAATCACTGGGGAAAAAGGGCCCACCTCCCTTATCACATCCAACACCAATTATGACCAATTGCCACAAATTGGCATGTAAGCCTAAGAGCTCTAGGAATGACAGTACTCCTTAAACCACCAGTCCTACTTCAAGTTCAGCTCCTGCCACCAGTATCCTTGAAAGGAGCCTCTGTGGAAATGTGACCTGGCAAGTATTTCTTCAGGTGCTAGAACATCACTTTCTCAGAAGCCACAGTTTTTGAAAAGCTGGAAAAGAAAGTTCTTATTACCATAGGCCTTGACTTTTGAATGCTTTTCATTACTTGACCTTGCTTCTCTCTGCTGTAATTTTCTTTTGTTTTTGTTGGACCTGTGATTTTTTTCTGTAAAGGGAGCTTCTGGTGAGGAAACTCCCTCTCTCCTACTACTGTCAAATAGTTCAACATCAGAAAGAGATATGATTTTATCAGTGTGAATAACATTAAAGAATATGCACTATCATCTGCCTTGCCATTGCACCCTAAGGATTTATTATCTGACTTGATTCTGAAATCACATATAAATCTCTTCCATTAGAAAGTGAGTTCATTGTGGGCAGGGGCTATCTCTGCTTTTCTGTTTGTACTCCTAGGACTTATTGCTATGTTTTGCACATAACAAATACTTAATCAATGCTCATTCATTCACTTATCTATCTAATCATTGATAAAAATCTTAAGTAGCATAGGGCAAACAAAGGCTCCCTAGAGCATTCTTCTGGATATTTCCTTCCAAGTTTACATGGAATTATTATTGACTACTCTTTGGGTTTATCCACCCAACCAGTTTCAAATCTATCTAATTTTCTGTTTTATAACTCCATTTCTCCCTCACACTTTATCAGATGTTTTGCTAAAATCTAGATAGCTTGATGATCTTAGAAAAACATGAATAGACTTGCACAAAATAATGAAAACAAAATGAATAGAACCAAGAGAGTGTTCTATATAGTAACAGCAATATTAAAGACTAAGTCATTTTGACAGTTATACGTGCCCAAATTAACTACAAAGGACATGTGAAGGAAGATACTATTTGCATACAGAGAAAGAACTGATAAATATTTAGAAGTATGTATAGAATGATTTTACATACATATATATATTTGTGCCTAATGGTAGTCATCTCTAGAACAGGGAGGACAGTAGGGAAGAAAAAAAAAGGGAAAAGAAATTTACATGATAATTATTATGTATTTAAAAGGAATAGCAAGTTATACATAATAGATTTGTAGTTTCATGTGCAACTATCTTTTTAAAAATTATAGTATGTTATGAAAATGCTCACATTATTCCATAAATTAAAACAAATAAAAATTTAAAAATTTAGGCAGAATACATTTAGGGAGAACATGATAACATTTCCCTCATCTGCCAGTTTTGTAACTATCAAAAAAGGAACTCAGGTTAATCTGAGACAACTTGTTCCTGATGAAGCCAGGCTGACTCCTTGTGATCATCATTTCCTTATCTAAGTGTTCACAAAGCATAATATTCTCTAGAATTTTGTTAGAAATTGAAGTTAAGCTCACTGATATATTACTGTTTATGGATTCTGTTCCTTTTCCTTTTTTGAAAATTGACAAAATTTGTCCTTCTTTGGTCATTGGGCATTTTTTTTCCATTTCCCACATCTTTCAAATATTACTGATAATGCATTTTATTCATATCTGCTGCTTCAGGAGTTCTTAACCTGGAGTCTGTGTTTTTTTTTTTTAAAGAATGTTTTGTCAACTGTATTTCAACATAATTGGTTTTCTTTGTAATCCTCTCCATTTTATGTGCCAAAGAAATCCATGACACCAAAAAAGTTAAAAATCTTTACCTGATGTCTTTGAGTAACCAAGGATATAATTCATCTAGGGCAGGTGGCTTGAACTCATCCAGGATAGCTAGGTGTTCTCTTACTTTCTTCACTTATCTTGGGTATCAAGTCCCTATATAAGTCATTTTTGTTTTCCAGTCCACAGATCATTGTCCTAGACAGAAAGAAAAGGAAACAGTACTTGAGTAACTTTTTCTCCTCTCTGTTTTCATTTGTCATCCTTTCCTTCTGGAGCAGTGATCCTATCCCTCATCCTTTTTTCTTTAGTATAGCCAAAATAAACTCTTTTTATTATCCTTAACTTTCCTTAATTGCTTCAGCTTATTCTGAGCTTTAACATTCCAACACCATTCTAACAGAACCATATGTGGTTTTTGTATACACTGTTAACTACTCCATCTTGTTTCACCTACTGTATTTTTTTTGGGGAGGGGTGGTAATAGGAGGAGGAGGATGGATCTATGATTTTTTTATGCATAGGTAGCTCCTGTTTAGGAAAACTCCTGTCATTGCAGATTTGAAAATTCTACAACCAAGAAACAGAGAATTATTTGTGTCACTGAGATGGTAAGGGACTTGTCTAGGATCACATAATTAGTATGTGTCAGGTAGTAGATGAATCCAGTTTGTTTTGATCCAAAGGCCTGTCAATATGTCATGCTGTTTTTCCTATTAAATATGTCTTTTAAAAATCCATTAGTTGGGGCACCTAGGTGGCGCAGTGGATAGAGCACTGGCCCTGAAGTCAGGAGGACCTGAGTTCAAATTCGGACTCAGACCAAACACTTGACACTTACTAGCTGTGTGACCCTGGGCAAGTCACTTAACCCATTTGCCTTAAAAAAAAAATCCATTAGTAGTTAGACACCTAACCCTTTTCTTCCTCCTTACAGTAGATACCTTTTTTCCCCTTCAGAGATTTCTTTTTGTGTCCCCAGAATTTCATATTTGAAGGTTTCTTATTTATTTTGGGCTAATTTTCCTTTTGGAAATTTAGTCTTTGGGATCCTACCTAATTTTTTTCTGGACTTTGAAATCCACGCTCCTCAAATCTGTGGTGTATGTTAATCTGTGCTTGGTTTTCTTCTTCTTCTTGGTCATAAATTGTAAGCTGAATTTCTTATAATTTACACCCTAGCAATAAGTTCCTCCTTGTTGAGAATCAGATCTGTAATAGACCGTGTTGTTTCCTTTCTTTTAAAGAATGAAATTATTATTATTATTTTTTTCATGAGTCGGCATTTATTACTTAAGTTGAAGAACAGGTTTTGAAGGGAATGGGGGACATATTCATAACAGAGTCCAAGGTGGAGCTCTAGGGGAGAAGGGAAGAAGGGAGGAGACAGGGAGCCGAGAGCCTCTCATCTGTATCTGCTCCAGATGGGGTTGATTCTGATTTCTGAGCCTTGGTCCAGGGCACACAATGAAGCACACGATAAGATGAGGTTCCAGGGGCTACATGTTTAGGGAACCTCAAGGGGTGGCCAAAGTTACACCTCCAACCAGAGATGAGGGCTGGGATTTTCCTTGGATCAGCAGCACTGCTTCCTTTTGGGAACTGAAGCATAGTGATAAGCTCTATCCCATTTATTTCAGCTCTTATAAAACATTCTTGTAGTTAAAGTCTTTGTGCCAATAAATTCTTTTATCTTGTACTTTGCTTCTAGTTTCTTTGAATATGCATCCAACTTGTAAGCTGCCTGCTCAAGAGCTGCTACTTGCTCCTCTGTTAACGTGATCTGACCCAGATAAGGCTGAATTCTGTATATTTCT